GCCAACTGGAGTTAAGGACTCCCTTGAAGTCCAAATTAGTATGTTTGTCTTACTTGCCCTTTATTACATAACTCAGCATCTTATCATAGTGTATCTTATTGGAAATGTAGCCATGCTTGACCAGCATCTCACCAGTCAGTAAAGATTTGGTTCCTAGGAAACAGGCATCAAATTTATAAAGTTAGAGCTCCTCAGTAGGCAAGTTGGTTAACCCATTATCATATACTATGCTATTATTTTTACCAGATTACTGTATTATGGTCAGGCTTATAGTAGCTTATATTAGTGGGAAACAAAACATGTGAGGTGACAAATGGTTCTAAGAAAATAGAGCAGAGTAAGGGGAATAAGGAACTGCTTCTTTGTATTGGAGAGCTGGGGAAGATGTCTCTGAAAAATGACATTTGAGCAGAGACCTGAGGAAAGGGAGTAAGCCCTGGCTCTATCTGGGGGAAGAGTGGGCTAGGCTCTTGTATCCAGTTGGCCCAGGGGACCCTCCTACCTTTTCATAAACATTGAGTGAAACAGAGGAGTAAACATACTTAATAGAAGAAAGGTTACGCCCATTGACATCAATTTTCTGCCATTTTACTAAATAAAATAAAACTTTAAACCAGGGCTTCAAACTGGTTCAGTCATGGTGAGGCAGTGAAATTGGAACAGATTCTGATTTGTATAAAGTGGGGACTGAACAATAACAGAAATGGGAAAGATTATGGGTCAAAGCCCTGGAATGGAAGACTTGGAAGAGATATAGTGAGCCCTCTCAGGAGCCTGATGTGGGAGATTGGACTCTTGCTGAGACTGTGGACAGCAACACACATTGAAAGCAATGCCATCTGCTGTCATCCTTCAGCCAGGCACCGGTGTTCCCGACTCTGTGCAATAATAGATTCGGTTGTTATGCAATGGTCATACTACCCTTATTTTCTAAGAAGTAGATTGAGTTTCTACCAGGGTGTGGACCTGTAATTTTTCCCGTTCTGGTATACCCACATTTTAAAAATTCAGGTTCATTCTAGTTTTGTTTCATTGGCCATGAATGAACTGGAAAGAACCAGTTTGAAGCTCTATTTTATAAACATATACTATCTATTCTTATAATACAACTCTGTATACACTTAATACTACCTTTTCACTTTTGAGTATCAGACTTTGTGTTTTAGATTCACTTGTTCCAATTAGCTATACTTACTATTTCCTTTTTGATCACAACCTGGCCAGTGGGAACCCCATTAAAATGGCTTTCTTTTCTCAGCACTGCCTCAGATATTTTTAAAGCATTCTTGTTTTCTGGCAACAAGATATTCCAGATGCATTGATTTCTGCCCCAAAACATGGAACTGACTCTTCTCTATGGAGCCTTGAGAAGTATTAGAAGTACAGACTGGTCCCAATTGATCTGCATAAGCTTTGATTGCAGCAAGATGGCACCTGGGAGACAGACTGACCTGGAAAAAGACACGTTTTTAAAGTCCTACGTCCATGTAGACATTTCCAGTTTAGCTGTCATCCCTGAATACTTTTCCATTTAATGTTTTTTTCTATAACATACCTATTTATAATTTAAACATTTCTTAACTGTATAATCAAGATATGATATATCCATATAAAGAAATACTACTTAGCAAGAAAAATAAACAGACTACTGCTACAAATAGATGCTGCAGTGGAGGCACTTACTCATCTATACCAAGAAATTTGGGAGACTGCTACCTGGCCAACTGACTGGAAGAGATCCATTATTTGTGCCCATTCCAAAGAAAGGTGATCCAACAGAATGTGAAAATTATTGAACAGTATCATTAATATCACACGCAAGTTAAATTTTGCTAATAATTCAAAATGGTTGCAGCAATATATTGATAGGGAACTTACAGAAATGCAAGCTGGATTCAGAAGAGGATGTGGAAAGAGGGAAATCATTGCTGATGTCAGATGGATCTTGGCTGAAAACAAAGAATATCAGAAAGATGTCTTGTTGTTGTTGTTGTTGTTTGCCGTTGAGTTGGCCCTGACTCATAGCGACCCCTCCTTGGGTTTCCGAGGCAGTATCACTACGGAAGTAGGATTGCCCAACCGTCTACTTGTGTTTTATTGACTATGCAAAAGAATTTGCATGGATAACAACTTATGGATAGCACTGAGAAGAATGGAAATTCCAGAACACTTAATTATGTTCACAAGGAGCCTGTACATAGACCAGGAGGTTGTTGTTCAAACAGTGCAAGGGGATACTGCATGGTTTAAAATCAAGAAGAGGATGTGTCAGGGTTGTATCCTTTCACCATACTTATTCAGTCTGTATGCTGAGCAAATAATCTGAGGTGTACTATATGAAGAATGTGGCATCAGGATTGGAGGAAGACTCATTAACAACCCGTAATAAGCAGACCATACAGCCTTGTTTGCTGAAATTGAAGATGACTTGAAGCAGTTACTGATGAAAATTAAAGATTACAGTCTGCAGTATGTATTATTACACCTCAAAAAACAAAACAAAACAAAACAAAAAAACTCCTCACAACTGGACCAATAAGTAGCATCATGATAAATGGAGAAAAGACTGAAGTTGTCAGATTTCACATTATATGGATCCACAGTCAATACATGGAAGTAGCAGTCAAGAAATCAGACAGCATATTGCACTGGGCAAATGTGCAGCGGAAGACCTCTTTAAAGTGCTGAAGAGCAAAGGTGTCCCTTTGAAGACTAAGGTGTGCCTAACCAAAGCCATGTTATTTTCATTCACCTCATACACATGTGAAAGCTAGGCAATGAAAGAGACCAAAGAAGAGTTGATGCTTTTGAGTTATGGTGTTGAAGAATACTGAAAAGTACCATGGACTGCCAGAAGAACTAACAAATCAGAAGTGTAGCCAGAATGCCCCTTGGAAGTAAGAATGGTCAGACTTCTATGACCTACCTTGGTCATGTTGTCAGAAGGGACCATTCCCTGGAGAAGTATATCATGCTTGGTAGAGTGGAGAGTCAACAAAAAAAGGGAAGACCCTCAATGAGATGGACTGACACAGTGGCTGCAACGATGGACTCAGGTATAGAAAGGATTGTGAGGCTGGTGCAGGACTGGGCAGTGTTTCATTCTGTTGTACACAGGGTCACTGTGAGTCAGAGCCAACTCGACAGCACCTAACAACACAACAACACTGCCACATGGTATATACGGATGAACCTCAAAAACATTAGGCTTAGTGAAAGAAGCCAGACAAGAGATTTCATGTTGTGTGATTCCATTTATATGAAATGTTCAAAAAAGGTAAATCTGTAGACAGCAGGGTGTAGGAGAGTAGGGTGCTTTAGAGGGTGATGGAAATGGATTGTAGTGATGAATTTTCCAACTCCATGAAGTTAATAAAAACCCTGTAAGCATATTTAAAATGGATGAATCTTATGGGTATGTTAATTCTATCTCAGACTGTTAAAAAAAAAAATTAAACCTTCCTTCCAACTTATACTTGTACCTGCTTAATAGGTTTTATTAACCCAAGATGTTCTATTGTATTGAGTTTTTTAAACTAAAATGAGATTCATGCCCTTTTTTTCCCCATACAGAGCAGCTTTTATATCCCTCTTGGTCACAAATTGTAACTCCATCACAAATTATAGCTCCATCACAAGTACAGCCTGAACATGACTATTTACTATTGCTCATCTATTTATCTGCACCATTTTTTCACACAGGTGCTTCCTTTTCAGAAAATATTTTATTTTTTACTCAGGTGATTAAAGAAGAGATCAGAAGACAGTTGCTATGACTATGACATTCCTACAGAGCTGATACGAGGTGTGAGTGTGAAGCTCTGCTCTCCAGCTGTTTCCAAAATATATCAGTATGAGTCCACACAACCATTTCTGTCCTGTGAGGGTAGAAATACACAAATGACACCTTTTATTTGAAAATACTGGATTTAATAGAAAATATCACATTGTAAATATGTCCATTAGTCCATCAGATTAAAACAGAATGACAGCACAGTCACATATAAAAGCTAAAGATGAAATGCTGGTACCCAACACAGACTGAGCCCATCTCTGAAAAGTCTTTCTAGAAAGAGAGAGCACCACTTCAAACATGCACAAAAACAGGGAGAAGGTAGTATCCACCCCACAAAGGCATAGGAGTGTAAAAGGAAGGTAGAGCAACAGATTCATCTTTGAATAAGGGCTGAGGGATAAATGGACGAAAGGGCCATGTTTCCTGATGTTCTAGGAACGTTGGACCACATTACATGAGTCTGAGAGGGCTACAAGGGCAGGGCATTTTAAGTGGAAGAATTAGACAACTTTAGAAGCACTTGCTCTGTCTTCTTGGTACCTTTCATGGAAGCAGGAGAGCACAGCACTCATGTTTTGTGACTAAACACAAAGCAGCTGCTTGCCTTGGCCCCTGTCACCCTGGCTGAACGTTGTGTCTGTTGCCCCAGGGACCTCCTACCTTTTATTAACTATTGAGTAAAAGAGAGGAGCCACAGGGAGATCTTTTGAACAAAAACACACGGCTCTGGTGGGGAAAGGGTTTCTGTCTTCCTCCTCCTGGTGCTGGAGGGGCCCTGAGGGAAAGGAGTTTGACGTGTCTGGGCCCTCTGGGGATCTAGGTTCATCAGCAAAGTCCTTCTCCACCCAAATCCTCCCCCAAAGAGTCCTCCAAGTTCACACAAAGGTCACCTGTGAGAGCAGAAAAAACAACTGGAGTTGGGGGAGGAAGTAAGAGACTTTTCTTTCCATGACACTTGTTATTGCTTCTTTAGACTGAGTTTAGATAATGAGAGAATATGTGTCTTAATTTAGGACAGGCCTGCTCAAGAGGGGCTCTCAAGACTCTCCAAAGAGGTTCTGTCCAATATATACAAATGCTAATTCCCTCCCAATGGAGTCAGTGCATGTACGGACAGAGGTTCCTGATGGGAGTGTGTTGTACACGTAAATGGTGTCAATGGCAGAACACAAAATTAACACCCCCTAATCTAGATGTGGTAGAATACATTTTTCAGAGATTTTTTTTTTCTGATTAAGAAGCTTAAGTTATAATCATAATCAAGCTATTCCCCTTATAGCTAAACTCCATGATGAGGCTCCAAGCCTCACAGCCAAGATCAACATGTTTACCCACTTATCTGGAGTAACCATACCAGATAAAAGAAATACACTTCTGTTCTCTTAAAGACAATTTCCAGAAGGACCCACTTGGCCCAATGAGGTACTTGACAGGAGGTTCCAGCACAGGCTAATCACTATATGGTTTCTTGGAAGACTGGCTTTTCTCTGCTTCTTTCTCTTTAATACTATACAAGGGGTCCACCAATTTGGTATGAACAAGCATTAAACCTACAAAAAATTAAAAGCAAATTGGTTAGCGCAGACAGAATCCCATGATTACCAACTCTTAACACCCAGGAGGATCTCAAATTGTTCTAGTACTGATATTCATCATCTTTTCTCTGTGACCCCCACATGACAACCTCTGAGAAAAGAAAAAGAATCTATTAATCCCAGTGAGTTCACAGAATCTTTGTAAATTCAATCACTAGGGGAGATGGCTATTAAAGGTTAATTGTTAATCTTTTCGGCAAATAACTAATTCCTAATTTACCTCTTGGTAAATGGGATTTTTCACTTAAGTTTGCTTAAAAGTAGAAAGAAACAAGATCTTCATGCTATCATCTAGTTCAGTGCCTTGTCTAGCAGGAACAGTTGGCCAAGATCTGGAAGGATAATCACCCCGAGGCTCAATGTCTTACAGTTCTATTACTGGAACCACTGATGTGATTTTCTACAACAAACTGGGGGGAAGAGTGTGGCTGGGGACGGGGAGGTTTAAATGAAATTTCATACATGTCAAAATAACAAAAAAGAACAAAATTTCAACACATGCATCTTAAAGTCCCAAAAAACCTCTCCTTCTCAGAGAAAACAGATCTCCAGAAATGGATTCTTGCAGCCATGGAAGAGAAAGAATAACTGCATACAGTGAGACAGTAGCGTTTGATTTTTATTAAAATCAGTAACCTATTAAAAGGAGGTCTGGTGGTTAAGGCACTTGGTTGCTAACCAAAAGGTAGGTGGTTCAAACCCACCAGCTGCTCTGTGGGAGGAATATAAGGCAGTCTGCTTCCATAAAGATTTGCAGCCTTGGCAAAGAAGAAAGAAGAAAACCAAAATTAATGGAAACAATCAGTCCTAGCGACTGGTACACCATCCGATCTGCAACCTATACAACTATGAGACCATAAGAACTAGATGGTGCCAGGCTACCACTGTCATCCACTTGGAAGGGATGTAGGAGATCCTGGATAGAGAGGGAGAACAATGTGGAACAAAACTCAAAATCATTTGGAGGGAAAAAAGAGAAAAGAAGGTGGGGACCAGTTTGCTGGTCCAATAGAGCCTGGTGGAACCACTGAGACTATGGCCCCTGGCTGCCCTTCAGGTCTGGAATTGAACCCACACCTGTGGTTTCCAGCCAAACAATGTACAGGCATGTGAGTTAAACATTTACCTCAAGTAGACACACGCCCTGGAGAGAACAATCATGGGAGAAGGAGGGGCTGCTTATGCACAGGGAGACAGCTCAGGGCACAGGAGAGTATGGAGGGATGGTCACTGGGAAGAGGTAACTATGGGGAGGAAGTGGGAGGGGAGCTGTTGCATTGTAAACTGTGGTCAATGACATGAGACAAAGTATATGTGAACTGCTGTATGGAAAGTGAATTTGCTCTGTAAATCTTCACCCACATCACAATAAATAAAAAAATAATAATTAAAAAAAAAAAAAAAAGATTTACAGCCTTGGAAACCCAATGGTGGTCGCTATGAGTCAGAATTTGATGGCAGTGAGGTTTTTTTTTTTTCCCCATATTAAAATGATCACAAAAATTAGGTCCAACCCCTCCCATACCTTTGAAATACTTGACAGTCTTCACTTTTAGCTCCAAGGTAGCATCCTCATCACACACAAACACTGTACGGGGATGCTGCTGGAAGGCAGATACGGTCCACATATGGTTCACGCCCTCCTCGATGGCCTTGTACAATGCAAATGCCTTGTGAGCACCGGTGATGAGGATCATCACCTGGGGATCAAAAACAAGGCAGTGATAGAGAAGAACGAGCACTGGACCTGGGTGTCCAGATTCCCAGATTCTAGTCGAGCCTCCCCAAATGGGTGTAGGGGCTATTATTTTTAACATATGTAATGAGTAGTTCCATCACACTCTGCTCTGTGCCCCACCACACAAATGAGGTAGCATCATTATTCTCACATTGCATGAGAAGGAAATGGGCCCCAGGAGGTCAGGTGACTCGCCCAAGGTCTCAAAGCCAAGAAACAGGAGACCTGTGATTAGATCAGGTGTTTCTGATCCCAAAACCTATGCTCCTGACCACCACATTACAGTGCTTCCTGGTATCTTTGACACTGGGTGTCAAAATGCCCTATGAAGAGACCTGTCATACAAAGACCCACAGCTCTCATCCCAACAGTCTGACACTGGGATTCCAGGGGCCCTAGGTTGGATGAGTTTTCATAATCAATTTGTATCCTTAATGAGGACCTGGAAGCACTGGTGAATTATCTGTGAGGCCCTAAAATGGAAACCCAAAGAGGCTGCCCCTTAATCTGGTCACCTTCAGTTCAATGCATTTGACTTGCTAATGTGACTTAAGGTAATATGCTAGGGACGTATGGCTTTTTGTGTAAGTAAAACAAAGGCACAGACTTTTCTTAAGAATGTGAATGCAGGGACGTGATCCTAAAGAACACAGCTCTAAGATTTCCTCTCATTCTAATTCCCCTGTAACCAACCACAGAGCTGTGCAAAGGATTTACTGTTCCTTTTTTTAAAAGATGAGGCAACAGAGGCATATGACTATTTGGAACTCAACAACCTCAGCAACTCAGACTCATTTTGGAAAAAAGAATTTCCTGATTTGTAACCCCAGGTCCTTACCCAGATGAAGACATTCTCTCACATGACAAGACAGCCCAAGCTCTTTTTATAAGCTGCAGGGCTAGGATCAGCAGAGTGGCTTATCTAGGTGCTGATTCAAGGTAACCAACAGACATCTGCAGGCCATATTCATCTCGCAGAAAACAGGAAACTTGTTAACTGATTTAGATGCTTGTTTATAGACCTGGGCAAAGAAACTTGAAGCTAAACTTGTAGCTGCCTCCCACTGAATATATCTCAGAAAGGAAGATAAAATGCTTATAAAATTCTAATGAAAGACAGTAAGGAAATTAGAACCACAAAAAATTCAAATGATACACAATTTTCGGGGGGGAGGGGAAACCTGACAATTCAGTTCAAGACATAATTACATTTCTATCACTCTTTGCCATGTTTATTAATCCCTGAGCACTGGGGTATAACCACAAGCATCCTTGGGTGGCAGGGAGAACGTCTCTTTAAACAGTGACCACCACCAACTACAGGGAGCCAGATAGTCTCTCTTAGGACCTGGCAGGTATGAATTTATATTCTAATGTTAATACTGTTGGACCTGTGTTTGCCCATGAGAAGCATAAAAGGAGTACAGATGCTAAGACCAGGCCACCTGGGCAGTCCAAGGGGTGAAAGCTGTACAGAAAGCATTCACCTCACACTGGGAACAATGGCTACTCTGAAGAGGTGTGAGAAATAGTGATAGGAATCAGTTGGGATTTTAGCCTTATATTTTTTTTTTCATTTTCAGTAAGAATATATTCATGTGGTACCTGTATAAGTGAAAATTAAAACAAACCCTTAACTCCAGCCCCCATGAAGTCTCCTGGATCCCATGCCCTTACCTCTCTAGCATCCATGACAGTGCCCACACCCACCGTCAGGGCCATGGTGGGCACCTGGGAGAGATCTCCATGGAAGAACCTAGCGTTGGCCAGGATGGTATCCATGGCCAGTGTCTTTACACGGGTCCTGGACACCAGACTGGAGCCTGGCTCGTTGAAGGCAATGTGTCCATCGGGGCCGATTCCTGCCCAGGAAAGACAGCCAGGTCATTCCTGTCAGTCCCAGAGGTCCAGGATTTTAGGAATAGACAATCTTTCCTTCCTCAATTGAGGTCTGAAAAAAATCCTTGAATGTGTCTTTTCTCATTTCCACCCTTGGCCAGGTATACCTTCAGCATATGATCTCCACCCTATTTCCATCTGAGGCACACAAAGACATCATTAATTTGCTACCACTGTCAAAAAGCTAAGGAAAAAACTACTCCAAATAGCTTCTGCCACCCTGAATGATCAGAGAATATTCGACCTGCTAATGTGACTTGGGGTAACGCGCTGGGGATGTACTGCTTTTTGTGTAAGTAAAACAAAGGCACAGACTCCTCTGAAGAATGCGAGTACAGGGACGTGATCCTAAAGAACACAGCTCTAAGATTTCCTCTCATTGTAATTCCCCTCTAACTACAGAGCTGTGCCTCCTTTCTGTGCTTAGGGGGGCCCTGCTTCTGGGCAGAGCTGCAGTGCATAAAACTCACATAGGGCCTGGCAAGTTTATAAAATCTCAAAACAGAAGAGCTCCTGCCCTTGCCCCCCTCAACCTTGAAGTATACAACCAAAAAAAAAAAGCCAGCTCAATGGCTGGCTGACCTTGAACAAATCACGTAACTTTTCTAGGGTACAACTGGCTACTGACAGCATACAGGAGCTGAGTGCAGAACTTTCTGGAATCTGTGATTTTAAATGTTTGGATAAGTTCCATGATTTAGCCAACAAACCTTAAGACTGGGGAGTAGACAGAATCAAAGAGTTCAAATCCAAACCTCTCAAGTCACAGATGAGGCATCAAAGTACAGAGATGCTCAAGAGCATATACTACTGAGTGGCAGAGCAGGGGCAAGGATCTAGGACTCCCAGCCTTTCAGCACCTCCCCTGCCTACACAGCATTTTAAGAGTCCTCCAGTGTCACTAGCACAGATAGAGGAAGCTTAGAGACAGACATGGTGTCTTATCCTTCTTCTTCCCGTGTGTTCCAACCACCCGGCTCACCTCCAACAAACAGCTCGATCCCACCTGCAGCTGCAATCTTCTCTTCAAAGGCGTCACACTCAGCCTGCAGGTCAGCTGCATTCCCATCCAGAATATGGGTGTTTCCTGGGTCGATGTCAATGTGCTTGAAGAAGTTATTCCACATGAAGGAGTGGTAACTCTCGGGGTGGTCTCGAGGAAGGCCTGCAGAGCCAGGGCCATACCAGGTCACACCCAGGCTGAGCCAGAGACCTGCTACCAACGGGGATGCCCTCACACCCACAGAAGTGCTCTTGGTGGTGGACTGCCCGTTAAGTGGTCTTGGGTGCCAGCATTCTAATCCCCATCACTCAGGATAGACTAAACTGGTGCCCATAAGTATCTAGCCATTATAACCACCTGTGACTAAGGAACTGGGATCAGAGCAGCTACATATTATCTCCTTTTCACACAGGCTAGAGGGGTCACTATGGGCTTTGGGAGGTAGCCTAGACAAACTACGGGTGGGCTGGGTCCAACAGAGTAGGGAAGCAGGCACACCCCTTACCCTGTGCCTCCCAACCAACTGTGGTTCACTCCATTATGCCATGTGACCAGCTCAGCCTGAATCCCATCCTGAACACCATATGGTTGGAGAGAATTATCTCAGAGCTTCCGAAAAAGGATTACTTGAGCCAGGAAGAAAACAAAAGAATATTTAAGAAGTAAAGCTAATATAAAATGATGGGGGTTGGAGGAGATGACAGAAGACCAAGATGTAGTTTTTCAGCAGCAAAGGAAAAAAAGTTAGTCTCAGCTCCCCTCCCAGGGTACCAGATAGGAAGGGGAGGTGGAGGGTTAACACTGGAGAGAAAGTCCAGAGCCAGACACTGCCTGAGACACATGCCTGAGCCATGACCCTATTTACAATTACTTGTTCGAGGAAGAAGGAGCATGGAGTTAGAGGAGGTGGAGGAGAGGGAGACACTGTAATAGTTATTACATGTTTACTATGCACAAGAGACTTCCACATCTATTATGATGTCATTTAATGCTTACAACTGTGGGGTCAGCTTTATTAGACCAATTTTTTAAGCTGATTAACCAAACCCTGGAAGAGACAGATAGTGAGTGTATGTATCATCAGATGTCATTCACACTTGAGATGTCACCTTGAGGCCGACCCCAGGAGGAGGAATATGACTCTCTAGGAATCAGGTAAGGACTCACCCACATACTCATCCATGTTAAAAGTCTTCACATACTTGAAGGAGAGGTCTCCGTTCTGGTAGTATTCAATAAGCTTTTTATAGCAGCCAAGTGGGGTGCTCCCTGCAAGAGAGGCCACAGACATGAATGTCCTTTCAGTCCCCAGTTCCTAAGGAACCATCTGGGTACCCAAGAACCAGTCATGGTGGCTCTGCAAGGAGAACGTGTCAGATCTGAGAAAAACAAGTCTGAGCTGACTTGTCCCAGTGCTCCAATCCCACTGTCATTCATTAATTGCTTGGCTAATGCCTATTTCTCCACTAGACTATACGCTCTAGGAGGGTGGGATTGTGTCTATCTTGTACACTGTTGAATCCTCAGTGCCAGCACATTGATAACTGAAATAAATGTGCTTAATAACTAAGTGAATGCCAGGCTTAATTACTGACTACTATGCATGAAGCACAGGGATCTATGATGGGAACACAGAGGAGCAAAAAACATACTACTTGCCCTGGAAGAGCTCCCTGTTTAAGATGGGGAGCACACAAGCAGTCATGTCAGCTGTGGTAAGAGTAAGCACAGGATTTTCCAATCAGCACTGGGAACAGCATTTCTGCTCAGTCATTCTCTTTCAATAGAGACCTATTATGTGACAGCAAAGCTAACTGATTCCAAGAGTAAAGATATTAATAATAAATTATACTTAGAGTAAGCACAGGTTCTACCTTGAGGGTTCAGAGAAGGCTTCCTTGAGTAGCAGCAAACCCCAAATTGAGTCTCATTAAAGAGTCAATGTTACAAAACACATACATTAAAAAAAAGGGAGGAGGGACTTCCAGTAAGATGGTGGAATAGGCAGACAAGCTACACAGACCCTCTTCAACAAAGGAAAGAGAAACCAATTGACACAGATACAGAAGATAATCTTGGAGTCCTGAGCTTTGAAAGGAAGGATACAGAGTGGATTAAATACCAACTAGTAGAAGAACCTGAATGAAAACAGTGAATAAGGAGACAAACAGAGCTACGGACTGTCAGAAATCCTGATGGCACAGACAGTTTGAATATTTCCAAGTGGTGTTAGGACCTGAGAATTAACCTAAAAACTGGCCCTGCTAGCCAAGGGCTGCATGGATGACTGTACTGGTGGCTGATGACTAAAATGGGAAACAGCAGAGAAAGACACAAACTGAGCTATGGTCTTTGTCCTGTCCAAAGAGTGCAGCCATTCTGAAAGTTTACAAGAGGTGTGGCCATTTTGGATATTTAAAGTGGCAGTGTTCCCGTTCAGATCCCAGGGACCTAAGAATAGGCTCTGCTTGCCAAGGACAGCACAGATACACTGGAGGCTGACAAGTGGAAAGATTCGATACTCCCCTTGTTACTCTTATACCCCACACCCTCTTGGTGAACAGAGGTGCAGCCATCACTTGCCCCCACCCACCTTCTGGACTGGGAGAAATTATACCCCAGTCTGTGTGCTCTGATTCAGCCTGAGTGCCCTGCCCTACGCCCCCCAGATTTTGTTTGTTTGTTTTAAAATTATTATTTTTCCTTTTGATTTTTATTCTTTCTATTTCCATTCCCAGGTCCTAATTTTTGTTTTATTTTCTCTTTCCTTTTCCTGGTTCCCATCTTTTTTCTTTCTTGTGGTTCTTCCCATGCCTTTTTCTCATTTCTTTAAATTATTCTTTTATTCTTGCTCTTTTCTCTTATTCTCCCCTGCCCACATATTGTGGGGTTTTTATTCTCTTTTTCTATTTATATTTCTTTTGTCTTTTTTAAGTATTTCTTTAAATACTTCTCCTAATTTATTGCCTTTCCTTTTTTTGTTTTGTTTTGTTCTCTCATTTTTGATGACTGTTTCTCTGTGTTTATGCAGTGTGTATATTTTGTCCTCTTGTTTTTAGCTTTTAAAAAAATTGTTATTTTTATCTGAGTGGGAGACAGCAACTGTGTCCATAATACCCAACCATACCCACACCTTCAGCAGCCTCACCTACTGAGGGAGGGCCACCATTTGCTTCTGCACTGACTGGCCAATGATGCATGACAGCCAATATGAGCCTGATTCACCCTTAACTGCTCTTCACAAACAGCTAACAGAGATCTATGTACCTACTCTCATTCTCTATCACACCTACCAGGAGGCAGGTGGTGAATTTGTAAGTGCTGCCAACTAGTGAATAGAAAAGCACAGTATCCTGCTTACTCAGATATATCAAAAGAAAACAAGTATCTCGGGCAAATCACTCTAACATATTATATATAAACCACAATTAAATATAAATACAATATCACAGTGTCTTAGAGACAAAAGACCATCACACTATACACAAAAAAGCAAGATAAAGTAGTAGAAACAAGGGACCAGGATACAGACACAGAAAACATCCCTGAGGAAGATGCAGCAATGGAACTCCCTGATAAGGAATTCAAAAGAACTGAATTTAGGTACCTTCAACAGACTGAGAGACAATCAAGGAAAAACTAACAAAATTAAGGAAAACACAGACAAAACCCTAGAATAATTTTGGAAGACAATACAAGAATAAAATGACAAAATAAATGAAAAATTAGAAACGATACAAAATCTACAGATAGAAATCCAGAAGATTAATACTAAATTTTCGAAATAGATAGCATACTGAATGGGCAAAGCAGAATTGAATCAATGGAAGACAGAATTAGTGAGAATGAATACAAATACCTGAATACTTCTTCGGAAAGGAATCAATCAGAAAAAAGATCAAAACAAAATGAAGAAAGCCTAAGGTTCATGTGGGATACCATCAAAAGGAATAATAATCTATGTGTACTTGGAATTCCAGACCAGGAAAAGACAAATAAAACCACAGAGAAAATTGTTGAAGATTTGTTGGAAGAGAATTTTCTTGATATGATGAATGATGACAATATATCCATTCAAGAAGTCCAATGAAGCCTGTGATAGTTTGAGCTGTGTGTCAACTTGGCTATACCACAATTCTGTGTGGTTTAAGCAATTATGATGTGGGTTGTTCCCATGATGGGATCAGATGTATATGTTTTGAGCATCCAATCCATTGAAAGGTAGTTTCCCTAGGGGTGTGGCCTGCTTTTAGTATATTTATGGACATCCTGGGAAAAGAGACACTCTTCTGTGGATTGGGATTCTATTGTGATGCCTACAACTGTCTATGAGCAAACAAGCCACCATTCAGCTTGGATTCATCATTTGTTGGAGTGAACAACCAGTATACTGCCTGCTCGTCAGCTCAACCTTGAGCTCATCAGCCTCTACAGCTACGTGAGTCGGGAAAAGCCTCCAGCTTGACGTTTGATCCAAGAGCTTGGGAGTTGCCAGCTTCTATACGTGTGTGTGCCATTTTCCTAAAATAAATTTCTCTTTCTCTCTATCGAAGTTTTACTGGTTTTGCTTCTTTAGAGAACCCAGTCTAACACAAAGGCCAAGTGAAAATCACTAAGAAATATCATTATCAAACTGACTAAAACCAAAGACAAAGAAAGAATCCTGAAAGCAGCATGGGAAAAATGAAAAGTTACCTACAAAGGACAATCAACAAGACTAAGCTCTCATTTCTCGGTGAGAAGGCAGTGGGATGGTATATATAAAACCCTGAAAGAAAAAAAAATTTCCAACCAAGAATTATATACTCAGAAAAACTGTCCCTCAAATATGATGGGAAATCAGGACATTTCCAAATAAGCAGAAATTAAGGGAATTTGTTAAAACCAGACCAATCTTACAAGAGACGCTGAAGGGAGTTCTTTGGACAGAGAACCAACAACAACAAACAACTAACGACCATTAATGCACATGATGACATAACCCAGAAACTAACCCAGTTATGGAAGTATCCAAAGTAAAATAAGCTTACAAGATTGTAAGCAGGGAACCAGAGACATCAATTGGTAAAGGAGGACAAATAAAAACCAAAAAAAAAAGGGAAAAAATATAGTTACACAATGTTTAAATGGTGAGGAAGCCAAGACAATTGCAAGATAGAACAGACTGTGATAAACTTGGGAAGAAAATTATAAATCACAGGGTAACCTCAAAGAAAATAATAAATCTTCACATCAAAATAAAAAAGAGGACAAGCACAAATATTTAGCAAAACCTAAACAATATCAATGAAGGAAATAACATAATTCATAAATAAAATGAGTTCAACACAGAAAATTATATGGAACAAAGAAATCAGCACATAACAAAATGACAGCAACAAATACATACTCGATAATTACACTGAATGTCAAAGGATTAAATGCACCTCTCAAGAAATAGAGAGCTGGAGACCAGATAAGAAAACATAACCCGTGGGAGGGGAGGGGAGGGAACGCTGTTAATAAAGAAAAAAAAAAAAAAAAAGAAAACATAACCCATCAATATGTTGTCTACAAGAAACATACCTTAGAGAGAAGACAAAAAGACTGAAAATCAAAGGTTAGAAAAAGATATATCAAGCAAGTGGCAATAAAAAATGAGCAGGAGTGGCTATATTAATTTCTCATAAAATTGACTTTAAGACAAAAACCACCGTAAGAGGCAAGGAAAGACATTATATAATGATTAAAGGATCAACTGAACAAGAGGACATAACCATAACAAATATCTATGGACCCAATGAAAGAGCCCCAAAATACATAAACCAGACTGTAACAGAATTGAAAAGACAAATAACTCCACTGTCATAGTAGGAGACACCACTTTCAATGAAAGATAGGACAACTGGAAACAAACTCAACAAAAACGCAGAAGAACTAAACAAAACAATCCACCAACTTGGCCTTATAGACATCTACTGAGCACTTCACCCAACAATAGCACAATATACATTCTTTTCTAGTGCATACAGAACATTCTCCAAGATAGACCATATGTTAGGCCATAAAGCAAGCCTCAATAAATTAAAAAACCCTGAAATACTGCAAAGCATTTTTTCAGATCACAATGTTATAAAATTTAAAATCAACAATAGGAGGATGAACAGAAAAAGAGCAAAGACATGGAAACTGAACAATACCTTCCTTAAAAATAACTAGGTAATAGAAGAAATAAAAAAAAGTTCAGATAGTTGAAAAATACCTAATTATCAGCATGTTGCATATATTGA